AAAGTTAACTTGTTTCGTTTGGCGTACTTTTATTGAGAGTTGCTATAACGGCCATAAGGTCCTTCAATTGTCTTTACTAGCTGAATGAAGTCAGTAACCTGAAACATTTTAAACCAATGATTAGTGAGAAAGAACTGTTTCTTGTCACATTCACAGAGCGTAAACATCAACACATGTGTGCCCATCATTGTTGAATTCTTCTCCGTCCACAAAATCTTCGTGATACCAAATCCTGTACTCTTCTCCAGCAGCCACTCTCAGGGGAGGTGCGAGTCTGTTAAAAACCAACTCTGACGAGTTTTCCTGGTAACCAGGCAGGATATAAGCCCGGTTCTGGTAACCGTGTGGAAACATCACTTCGTTTTTTGCATTTGTAACAATTGTTGCAATTTTGGATCCATTCTTGCATGCCCAGTGACTCCCGTATGGGACGTGTTTGTTGTTGCACGTGACAAAGCCTGAAATGTACACAAGTTTCAAGGCTTCAATAAATCCATTTGACGTAATATTGAATTTCCCATACGAGTTATTTTTGGCTCCAAAGCAGACCTCGTCCTTGTTCAGCTGAATCCAGGGAGCACCTGTTTAACAATAACAGGTTACCCAAAATATTCAGTTGAAGAGAAAAAAATAACAACAACAGCAAACAACCAAAAAACTCTAAAAATGGCGGATAGTTCATTAGCGCTGATACTTAGCCTCTGCCAGTCATAGTATTGTCACTCCCCCAAGGGATACCCCACTCCGCTGCATTTGTCAGAGGTGCCTAACAATTGCCGGTAACCCGCCCGGGATCGAAGCGAAAACTGATGTACTCGACGTACCCATCTGTATTCGTCTCAATAGAGAGAGGTAGTGTGAATTTAAACGTCAAATAAACGGAACTACAAACAGGAGAATGGAGGGGTTTCGTCCGCGGCTTACGCTCTGACATGGAGTGAATTAATGATTGGTTAGTTAACAGAACAATATAATTCTTAGGCCCCGTCCACACTGGGGAAATTTGAAAACGCATCTTTATTTTTACGGTTAGGCGTAATATCCGCACTAATTCGTCACGAAAACAAATCTTTTTGAAAACGCTCTTCCAACCATAGGAATTAAAAAACACCGGCTTTGCGTTTTAGCGTGGACGGAAAACATGAAACGGAGATTTCGACGACGTCACGATAACCATGTTATTTCTCTGCCCGATTTTTTCTCAAACACAAATCCAAAATGACCTGTGATTGTTGAGTTTTTAATTTCTCCAGCGTAGTCTGCGTTTTCAGAGTGAAAACGCCGTTTTCAAATTTCTCCAGCATGGTGTTGACGCGCCTTACTATTGTAGAGAGCCTCGAGGTCTTATGTTTGGACACACACGATGTGGATTCATTCTTTGTAGCTCAAAATTTATTCTACCTTGTTCAATCTTTCCAGGACTCCTTACGCAAAAATATTCATTGGATCTGTACCGTGGACGACAGGAAGCACCATTCCTACAAGGATTGTATTCACATGGACTCTGGTTGAAAAGCAATGAGGTGACTGTTATAAAAGACATAAAGAGAGAGAGACACACACACACACTGGAGGGAGGAAAGTAAATAAATGAAAACCTGAAATCATATCATATATTTCTTCAGTGATAATTTGTTGCAGTGAAAATTTGTTTCGAGGATGTATTTGTGGGCTATGTTCAGTTGAAGATTTCAAGGGAACTTCGCTACACCACATTCAAATTTGCATCATTTTGTTACCTAACTCTAACATTATGTTTACCTACCGCCATGCTGTAATGATGATAAAACTGACTTGGCTCAAATCTGTCCGAAAAAGTGTACTTGTCTTTACGGAGCAACTGACAACCATGCCTCCCCGGCGGAGAAACAGCAAAGTTAAACGAAAAACAAAAGCTGTACCTCAAGCATTCAAGCGCGCAGGCCATGGCATCATAAACAGTTATAGAAACACTCGCTTTCACGTTCAGAAACCGATGGAAATGTTCTAAAAAATTCGTTCCGTTTTCTCTTTCCCCAGACCCTTGAACAAGAAAGTTTTCCGACAAGCTTAAGACTACAGTAAAGGAAATACAACAGAAGAAAAATCTAAGTACCCAAGACATTTTGTAGCGGGTTGTTAGAAACGTTTTTGCGGCAAAGTCTAAGGGCTATAGGGAACTGACGTCAAGTTAAATACAATTTAGGGGCATTTGTTTAAACATTAAATGGAAGTAATAATGGACGAAATCTTTGCGATAACATATAAGTTTCCTCTTGTGTTTTGCAATATTTACATAGCTTGTCAAATTAAAAATCTTGAATGATTTTAAATCAGCTTATCGGGATCAAGATACCTCGAGCAGATATAACCAAAGATAAGATTATTTTAAATTAAATTCAAGTTCAACAGAGAACACATAAAAGTTACAGAATAGAATTAAATAAACACCAAAAATAATGAACAATGCTGACTTGTTCACCTGTTTTCCTTTTGTATTTTTGTGGCTTTATTTGAAGCAACAAATACAAAAGACATGGTGTGTGAACGGTGCTGAGTTTAGTCCGTATGCTGTTATATAAACCTAAAAGCGAAGAGGGTGGGCAAACTTGCAAACTACGTACTGAAATATCGCTTGAACATCGTCCCTTTGTTTCCCGCTATGGTCTCAATACACGATGATTTCAGTGTTATCTCGTATTAGTTCTATTTCCCCTACCTTTCTTCCGCAACTTTCTTGACCTTTTACGAGTCAACATTATAATTAACGTACGAGTTGTCTGGAGCAGTTCGCCTCTCTAGTTAACTGAAGTCCCCCACTTACGTTGTAAATCTAATTTGACCGTATAAAACTGAACTAGCAAAATCCTGCAAACAAGTACAAAAGTTTTTTAAGATTTATCAAGCAGGAAATTAGGGAATTATCTGATCGCTCAGGTGCCTTTTATTAAAATTCGAATATTTACTCTTGCAACGCTTGTTTAAATATTAGAAAAGGATATGTTTATGTATCTTTTGGGAGTTTTAACTTCTGAATGGCAGCACATGATGTATTGACACTCAGTGAACACATATCAGTATAAAGTAAATTAGAACTTCCTATGTTCAACTTCCAAGGTTGATCAATACCTCGAAACGAAAGATTGGGGTGGGCAAAGGGAGAAGAGCAAGAGATCGAGAATATGAACCTTCTCTTGCTTTGAAAAAGGATCGAGAGCCGCTAATGTGAATATACTACTGCGAGCAAGTTGAAAGTAACCAGGAAAGCGAAAATCATCAAAATGGCATCACTTTATTCGAGAGTTGTTTGACCTGCTGCAAAAATAACGTCAAAAAAAAATCTCTCCAATAGAAAATGACACGCGGAAAATAGCTGTAACATACAACAAACTTTCTTCACCTTTTTTCAATAAAATTCAACGTGGATTTGGGGGAATTACAAAACTTCAAATGTGCCCGAGATTCCCTCACATTTACGTTGGTATATTATATTTGAACGCAAGTGAGAAAAATTAATAGGTATGGGTATAGGGCAACTGAAACGAACTCAAGAATCAACAGTTGTCTTTCTCCATATTTCATATTTTTTTAATTCATCCGTTTATCATCTTGCAAACACAATAATAACATCTTTAATAAAATATGATATTATCTACATTATTATAAGAAATGGGCGTTATTTACCATGATTACTAATTTACATCAATTTATACAAGAAACTTATCGCCACGAGGTAACCATCACTAATAACTTGAAGACCAATAAAATAAAAGCCAATAAACTCACCCTTTCGTAAGTGATTAAACCCGAGGAAAATAAATATCACCAACCAAAGTTAATAACACTAATTTTTAAAACCAAGCACAGGTGGTTTATGAATCAGTTTCTACTCTTTTCAAAAAGAAACTACAACTACAAATAAAAATCACTGTTCTTATTACGGAGGTTGTAGATTTCCAACGAAATACTTTGCTTCTCAACGTCACGCTGACGTCACGTGTAGAGCACGTGATCACCGAGCAAGCCAATGAATTTCAAGTTTATGTAACGAGATGGTTGTCAGCGTTGTTGCTATGTGGATACAAAGTCACCGACGCCAAATGATTGTTAGCCATCACCTGGAGGAAGGAAAAAAAATCCAGTTTATTCCACTTCCTTCCTGTTTACAAAAGATCAACTAGTTTCCACTGCAACATTGCATGCATCAGGAACAGAGGAATGGGGACCACTGCGATTACTGGAGTACCTCGTCCCCATTCCCTTGGCCTTTAGTTTTGAATCATCCCAAATTATTTCGCGTTGGTAACGAATCAAGGAGCACGATTTTAACAATTACAAACCTCGAATATCATGTGCTGTAGGTTATAGCAGAAGGTGGAACCGAACGGGTTGGTTGTGTTCGTGGAGGAAGATCTAAAGACAAAGCAAAAGGAGATTGAAAACACGCTCAAATTGAGAGAATATCTAGTCAGGCGTCAATTCCGCAGAGCTGATTTCGCTTTGACAAATTTGACTAACATTCTCCCAAATCGTCAAATCCATAACGATTCACCCAGTTTGACGAAAATTCGTCAAATCTTCCAATTTTGTCACTGCCATGCAATATATGTTACCGCTTGCTGCAAAAGGAATCTAACGTGGAATATTGTACGTCCATCTTACCTATTTAATACAACAGGCGCCTCCACTGGTTTTCCCAGGTAATCTTGAACACTGTCCCACTGAAAAATACGAGATAAAACTGCGTTACGTTTAAACTTATCCATACGTTTTCTTCAGCCTCATGATCAACTATCACCTCTCACCACTGTTTCTCTTCACATTTCTCTTTACTTGCACTATCTGCAAGCTGTCTTCTGCACTGAAATTTTACAAGCGTGGTACAATGCTTACAAGAGTTTAAATTTTGGACACGAGAATGTTTGAGCCTTTTTCAAGACATGGTTAATAGAGGGGAGTGGTTATGAAACCCGGCAAACATCAAAGGAGTAAACAAAGATGCCAAGATTTATCTTGGAAGCTTCACGACCAAGCACAGTCTTTAGGTTTGAGCTCAAAAAAAGCGAGGCCAAAAAAAGCGAACAAAAACATACGACAAAGAACTTTTTCCCAGGTTTTTTATAACTATTCCCCTGTGTTAACTATGTTCTAGGCGATTCCCGGGAAACAGAATAGCCTTTGGCTTAGTTTTCCAAGTGCTCAGACGTTCAGCAGCTCGAAAGTATAAAAGAAAATGATGACAAAGAAGGAGTCGAGAAGTATACCTTGGTACACGGAGTCAACACAAAAGGCGTCCCTTCATCAAGAACAGAATCTGCAAAAAAAAGTTCAATTGTATTTATTAGGAAAAAAGATTAACTCAGATCACGGTCTTTATGAAAAAAACAATAATAATACCGACACAGCAAACTACCATTCCACTAGCGTATAAAAAAAGCAGAAGTAAGAACAAGAAGAAGAAAAAAATTGGCGGGAATGTAACGCCGATAACATTTGCCAGGAGATCACCGTAGATCACGGGTCATTCCAGAACTCGCTGCGCTCGGTCCCTGCGCAATTACGAAGAGAAATATTATTTACCCGTTCGACTCGACAAAAGTTCTTTTATGATATATTAAATCATTTAGATGATGGCATGTTTTCCTTTTTTGCGCTCATGAAAGCTGCGTCTCTTTCTCGCTTTCAAAAGTAAAATTCGTTCTCAACCTGTTCACTATTATAGGCCTAAAATTGAGATGTCATCTAAAGATTGATACATTTGTTTTATATCGCATCGTTGGACCGTGCGCGTTTCTGACACTGAGGTCTGTAGGGCATTTAGAGCCCTGTACTTTGACGCAACATTTCAGCGGGTACGTTCAGTCATCTAGTCTGCGACATGAAGGGGTACATGACGATCACGGCACTGCCATACTTGTGCTACCTTTGGAGTCTCTCTGTATCCCAATCTTGAATTCACAGCGCTGATACCTACGAGAGAAGAGAAATCAAAGAGAGATAAGTGGGGGAAGACCAAGAAAAATTGTTAACTGTTACAATCAAAAGCATTTAGCATCGAGATTGTTATTTTTCACTCTGCCCATGAATGACAATGTGACTTATACAAACTCTGTTAATTATGTGTTATCTTACTGGTAAACTTTTGACAGATCAGAGACACTGGCACTTTTGTAAACATGCTATATTGTGTTTACTCACATGTTGAAGTTGTAGTGCCCAGGAAAGTTTGTGTGCAGAATAAACTTCTTCACCAAATGACTGCACGCGTCAAATAAGATGTCCTAAAGCAAAGACAACAAAATCAGTGAGTCCACTAATCATTGTGCTTTAACAATGACCCCAAACAAGATTCAGTGAAAATCTAATTTAGCAAAGTTTCCTAATTCGCAGGCTTCGACTGGTATTTTGCCATCGTCAATCCTTTTCGTGTCACGTGGTCCGAGCGAAAAAACGAGGCTTTCCCAAGCTGTTTGTCTCGGCTACGTCACCGAAATGAATTGACTGCTTTAACGCCTGGAAGAAAGCCGAACAGGAACTAAGCAAATGGTGATGTACTTACCACTCCAAGGGTGAAGTAATTGAAAAAATAATCAGAACTCTTGGACTGTGCAAGTTTGTGAGGAGACGGTGAGTGAATCCGCATCTAAACACAGTATTAAGGTAAAGAAATGACAGAATTAAAAGATGGGATGTAGAATGAATGTACTGTACCAATTTACTACCACAACTTTAGTTATTCACGCTCTTGTCTTGTCCTTGATGACATGTTCTGGAGTGTCATTAATTTTAATTAGACAACACTAAAGAATGCATTTGTTTCTGATAAGTGCATTAAACAAGAGTCACACTCACTAATAATGGTTGAAATAATATGCAGGAACTGAGAAGTCCACCTGAAGCTCTTTCTAACTTCTCACATAAATGAAACGTAGCGAGAAATGTGTGTATATGTATCAACTTACCTTATCTTCTGCCTTGTAGAAAACCTTACATGGGGATCCAAGGGAACTTATGACATCCTAGAAAATAACAAAAAAGCATCAAATACAACAGACCAATTAAAAAGAAAATTCAATTTATGAACTCACGTTAAACATGTTATGTATCTTAATTTTTTCCATTCCAAGCCCTTCAGTATCAAATTAAAATTGTAACCTCTGTGCTGTACATGTGTGATGGAACATCTAAGTTCTGTGGTAACCCAGAGACTTCTTACTGTCAATTGCCCTTATTACAAGTTATTATTACAACAAAGTTGACAGAAAATACAAAGTGTCACCATTCCGGGAGGTTAAAAAAATCTGCATTGTTATCATGCATGCTCAGAAGTATAAGAAAATAATACACTTACAGTGTACTATACTTTTGTTACTTTATTATCAGTTGCCGGGACTTGTAATGGTAAGCTGTATGTAAGTTCACAGACTCTTAAATCTATGAATTCATTCCTACCTGGCATGAGTCTCCAAACATGACATTCCTTTCAAATGTTCTTCTTCGAAGCTCTAAAATCTTACCAGGACCGGTGCCTTGAAAAAGAAAATTGAAAATCAATCACAAGTTGATTTAAATAAATCCACAAAAGACAAAGACGTACATATATACATGTACATATATACTTTCTTGGCTCATCCCCACGGGGCTTTTCAGAGTCAATGTTACATTACAAAATTCAAAAAATGCAAGGAAGCTAATCACATGGCAATGATAACAATAAAAGAAGACAAAGGTTGAATAAAATTAAATAAAACAGTCGTCAAAAAGCTTTCGCCTGAGTAGGGGCTTGAAATCCGTCACAGATGGGCTAAGTTTGAGCGCAGGCTGCAACTCATTCCACAAAGAGGTTGCACTATACTGAAAAGTCCTTTGGCCGCTAGTACTTTGTTCATTTGCCACTGTTCTTATGTTCCCTGACTGTCTTGATGTCTTACCTTCAGCAACAAGGAAACATTTAAGACCAAGAACATTTCCATCCTGGTTAATGATCTCAATACTCTCGGCAAAACAGTTGCCATGGAAACACTGAAGAGGTAGCGGTGGTGCCCTTCAATAACAAAACAAAAGTAAAATTATTAGTCATTAATAATATTTTCTCAAACTGGCAAACACTTCAGGTTATGCAGCACCACTTATATTGAGAGCAGTTTTACACTGCCAAATTTGTTACATTTAGTCCAAGAGCATCAANATCATATATTTCTTCAGTGATAATTTGTTGCAGTGAAAATTTGTTTCGAGGATGTATTTGTGGGCTATGTTCAGTTGAAGATTTCAAGGGAACTTCGCTACACCACATTCAAATTTGCATCATTTTGTTACCTAACTCTAACATTATGTTTACCTACCGCCATGCTGTAATGATGATAAAACTGACTTGGCTCAAATCTGTCCGAAAAAGTGTACTTGTCTTTACGGAGCAACTGACAACCATGCCTCCCCGGCGGAGAAACAGCAAAGTTAAACGAAAAACAAAAGCTGTACCTCAAGCATTCAAGCGCGCAGGCCATGGCATCATAAACAGTTATAGAAACACTCGCTTTCACGTTCAGAAACCGATGGAAATGTTCTAAAAAATTCGTTCCGTTTTCTCTTTCCCCAGACCCTTGAACAAGAAAGTTTTCCGACAAGCTTAAGACTACAGTAAAGGAAATACAACAGAAGAAAAATCTAAGTACCCAAGACATTTTGTAGCGGGTTGTTAGAAACGTTTTTGCGGCAAAGTCTAAGGGCTATAGGGAACTGACGTCAAGTTAAATACAATTTAGGGGCATTTGTTTAAACATTAAATGGAAGTAATAATGGACGAAATCTTTGCGATAACATATAAGTTTCCTCTTGTGTTTTGCAATATTTACATAGCTTGTCAAATTAAAAATCTTGAATGATTTTAAATCAGCTTATCGGGATCAAGATACCTCGAGCAGATATAACCAAAGATAAGATTATTTTAAATTAAATTCAAGTTCAACAGAGAACACATAAAAGTTACAGAATAGAATTAAATAAACACCAAAAATAATGAACAATGCTGACTTGTTCACCTGTTTTCCTTTTGTATTTTTGTGGCTTTATTTGAAGCAACAAATACAAAAGACATGGTGTGTGAACGGTGCTGAGTTTAGTCCGTATGCTGTTATATAAACCTAAAAGCGAAGAGGGTGGGCAAACTTGCAAACTACGTACTGAAATATCGCTTGAACATCGTCCCTTTGTTTCCCGCTATGGTCTCAATACACGATGATTTCAGTGTTATCTCGTATTAGTTCTATTTCCCCTACCTTTCTTCCGCAACTTTCTTGACCTTTTACGAGTCAACATTATAATTAACGTACGAGTTGTCTGGAGCAGTTCGCCTCTCTAGTTAACTGAAGTCCCCCACTTACGTTGTAAATCTAATTTGACCGTATAAAACTGAACTAGCAAAATCCTGCAAACAAGTACAAAAGTTTTTTAAGATTTATCAAGCAGGAAATTAGGGAATTATCTGATCGCTCAGGTGCCTTTTATTAAAATTCGAATATTTACTCTTGCAACGCTTGTTTAAATATTAGAAAAGGATATGTTTATGTATCTTTTGGGAGTTTTAACTTCTGAATGGCAGCACATGATGTATTGACACTCAGTGAACACATATCAGTATAAAGTAAATTAGAACTTCCTATGTTCAACTTCCAAGGTTGATCAATACCTCGAAACGAAAGATTGGGGTGGGCAAAGGGAGAAGAGCAAGAGATCGAGAATATGAACCTTCTCTTGCTTTGAAAAAGGATCGAGAGCCGCTAATGTGAATATACTACTGCGAGCAAGTTGAAAGTAACCAGGAAAGCGAAAATCATCAAAATGGCATCACTTTATTCGAGAGTTGTTTGACCTGCTGCAAAAATAACGTCAAAAAAAAATCTCTCCAATAGAAAATGACACGCGGAAAATAGCTGTAACATACAACAAACTTTCTTCACCTTTTTTCAATAAAATTCAACGTGGATTTGGGGGAATTACAAAACTTCAAATGTGCCCGAGATTCCCTCACATTTACGTTGGTATATTATATTTGAACGCAAGTGAGAAAAATTAATAGGTATGGGTATAGGGCAACTGAAACGAACTCAAGAATCAACAGTTGTCTTTCTCCATATTTCATATTTTTTTAATTCATCCGTTTATCATCTTGCAAACACAATAATAACATCTTTAATAAAATATGATATTATCTACATTATTATAAGAAATGGGCGTTATTTACCATGATTACTAATTTACATCAATTTATACAAGAAACTTATCGCCACGAGGTAACCATCACTAATAACTTGAAGACCAATAAAATAAAAGCCAATAAACTCACCCTTTCGTAAGTGATTAAACCCGAGGAAAATAAATATCACCAACCAAAGTTAATAACACTAATTTTTAAAACCAAGCACAGGTGGTTTATGAATCAGTTTCTACTCTTTTCAAAAAGAAACTACAACTACAAATAAAAATCACTGTTCTTATTACGGAGGTTGTAGATTTCCAACGAAATACTTTGCTTCTCAACGTCACGCTGACGTCACGTGTAGAGCACGTGATCACCGAGCAAGCCAATGAATTTCAAGTTTATGTAACGAGATGGTTGTCAGCGTTGTTGCTATGTGGATACAAAGTCACCGACGCCAAATGATTGTTAGCCATCACCTGGAGGAAGGAAAAAAAATCCAGTTTATTCCACTTCCTTCCTGTTTACAAAAGATCAACTAGTTTCCACTGCAACATTGCATGCATCAGGAACAGAGGAATGGGGACCACTGCGATTACTGGAGTACCTCGTCCCCATTCCCTTGGCCTTTAGTTTTGAATCATCCCAAATTATTTCGCGTTGGTAACGAATCAAGGAGCACGATTTTAACAATTACAAACCTCGAATATCATGTGCTGTAGGTTATAGCAGAAGGTGGAACCGAACGGGTTGGTTGTGTTCGTGGAGGAAGATCTAAAGACAAAGCAAAAGGAGATTGAAAACACGCTCAAATTGAGAGAATATCTAGTCAGGCGTCAATTCCGCAGAGCTGATTTCGCTTTGACAAATTTGACTAACATTCTCCCAAATCGTCAAATCCATAACGATTCACCCAGTTTGACGAAAATTCGTCAAATCTTCCAATTTTGTCACTGCCATGCAATATATGTTACCGCTTGCTGCAAAAGGAATCTAACGTGGAATATTGTACGTCCATCTTACCTATTTAATACAACAGGCGCCTCCACTGGTTTTCCCAGGTAATCTTGAACACTGTCCCACTGAAAAATACGAGATAAAACTGCGTTACGTTTAAACTTATCCATACGTTTTCTTCAGCCTCATGATCAACTATCACCTCTCACCACTGTTTCTCTTCACATTTCTCTTTACTTGCACTATCTGCAAGCTGTCTTCTGCACTGAAATTTTACAAGCGTGGTACAATGCTTACAAGAGTTTAAATTTTGGACACGAGAATGTTTGAGCCTTTTTCAAGACATGGTTAATAGAGGGGAGTGGTTATGAAACCCGGCAAACATCAAAGGAGTAAACAAAGATGCCAAGATTTATCTTGGAAGCTTCACGACCAAGCACAGTCTTTAGGTTTGAGCTCAAAAAAAGCGAGGCCAAAAAAAGCGAACAAAAACATACGACAAAGAACTTTTTCCCAGGTTTTTTATAACTATTCCCCTGTGTTAACTATGTTCTAGGCGATTCCCGGGAAACAGAATAGCCTTTGGCTTAGTTTTCCAAGTGCTCAGACGTTCAGCAGCTCGAAAGTATAAAAGAAAATGATGACAAAGAAGGAGTCGAGAAGTATACCTTGGTACACGGAGTCAACACAAAAGGCGTCCCTTCATCAAGAACAGAATCTGCAAAAAAAAGTTCAATTGTATTTATTAGGAAAAAAGATTAACTCAGATCACGGTCTTTATGAAAAAAACAATAATAATACCGACACAGCAAACTACCATTCCACTAGCGTATAAAAAAAGCAGAAGTAAGAACAAGAAGAAGAAAAAAATTGGCGGGAATGTAACGCCGATAACATTTGCCAGGAGATCACCGTAGATCACGGGTCATTCCAGAACTCGCTGCGCTCGGTCCCTGCGCAATTACGAAGAGAAATATTATTTACCCGTTCGACTCGACAAAAGTTCTTTTATGATATATTAAATCATTTAGATGATGGCATGTTTTCCTTTTTTGCGCTCATGAAAGCTGCGTCTCTTTCTCGCTTTCAAAAGTAAAATTCGTTCTCAACCTGTTCACTATTATAGGCCTAAAATTGAGATGTCATCTAAAGATTGATACATTTGTTTTATATCGCATCGTTGGACCGTGCGCGTTTCTGACACTGAGGTCTGTAGGGCATTTAGAGCCCTGTACTTTGACGCAACATTTCAGCGGGTACGTTCAGTCATCTAGTCTGCGACATGAAGGGGTACATGACGATCACGGCACTGCCATACTTGTGCTACCTTTGGAGTCTCTCTGTATCCCAATCTTGAATTCACAGCGCTGATACCTACGAGAGAAGAGAAATCAAAGAGAGATAAGTGGGGGAAGACCAAGAAAAATTGTTAACTGTTACAATCAAAAGCATTTAGCATCGAGATTGTTATTTTTCACTCTGCCCATGAATGACAATGTGACTTATACAAACTCTGTTAATTATGTGTTATCTTACTGGTAAACTTTTGACAGATCAGAGACACTGGCACTTTTGTAAACATGCTATATTGTGTTTACTCACATGTTGAAGTTGTAGTGCCCAGGAAAGTTTGTGTGCAGAATAAACTTCTTCACCAAATGACTGCACGCGTCAAATAAGATGTCCTAAAGCAAAGACAACAAAATCAGTGAGTCCACTAATCATTGTGCTTTAACAATGACCCCAAACAAGATTCAGTGAAAATCTAATTTAGCAAAGTTTCCTAATTCGCAGGCTTCGACTGGTATTTTGCCATCGTCAATCCTTTTCGTGTCACGTGGTCCGAGCGAAAAAACGAGGCTTTCCCAAGCTGTTTGTCTCGGCTACGTCACCGAAATGAATTGACTGCTTTAACGCCTGGAAGAAAGCCGAACAGGAACTAAGCAAATGGTGATGTACTTACCACTCCAAGGGTGAAGTAATTGAAAAAATAATCAGAACTCTTGGACTGTGCAAGTTTGTGAGGAGACGGTGAGTGAATCCGCATCTAAACACAGTATTAAGGTAAAGAAATGACAGAATTAAAAGATGGGATGTAGAATGAATGTACTGTACCAATTTACTACCACAACTTTAGTTATTCACGCTCTTGTCTTGTCCTTGATGACATGTTCTGGAGTGTCATTAATTTTAATTAGACAACACTAAAGAATGCATTTGTTTCTGATAAGTGCATTAAACAAGAGTCACACTCACTAATAATGGTTGAAATAATATGCAGGAACTGAGAAGTCCACCTGAAGCTCTTTCTAACTTCTCACATAAATGAAACGTAGCGAGAAATGTGTGTATATGTATCAACTTACCTTATCTTCTGCCTTGTAGAAAACCTTACATGGGGATCCAAGGGAACTTATGACATCCTAGAAAATAACAAAAAAGCATCAAATACAACAGACCAATTAAAAAGAAAATTCAATTTATGAACTCACGTTAAACATGTTATGTATCTTAATTTTTTCCATTCCAAGCCCTTCAGTATCAAATTAAAATTGTAACCTCTGTGCTGTACATGTGTGATGGAACATCTAAGTTCTGTGGTAACCCAGAGACTTCTTACTGTCAATTGCCCTTATTACAAGTTATTATTACAACAAAGTTGACAGAAAATACAAAGTGTCACCATTCCGGGAGGTTAAAAAAATCTGCATTGTTATCATGCATGCTCAGAAGTATAAGAAAATAATACACTTACAGTGTACTATACTTTTGTTACTTTATTATCAGTTGCCGGGACTTGTAATGGTAAGCTGTATGTAAGTTCACAGACTCTTAAATCTATGAATTCATTCCTACCTGGCATGAGTCTCCAAACATGACATTCCTTTCAAATGTTCTTCTTCGAAGCTCTAAAATCTTACCAGGACCGGTGCCTTGAAAAAGAAAATTGAAAATCAATCACAAGTTGATTTAAATAAATCCACAAAAGACAAAGACGTACATATATACATGTACATATATACTTTCTTGGCTCATCCCCACGGGGCTTTTCAGAGTCAATGTTACATTACAAAATTCAAAAAATGCAAGGAAGCTAATCACATGGCAATGATAACAATAAAAGAAGACAAAGGTTGAATAAAATTAAATAAAACAGTCGTCAAAAAGCTTTCGCCTGAGTAGGGGCTTGAAATCCGTCACAGATGGGCTAAGTTTGAGCGCAGGGTGCAACTCATTCCACAAAGAGGTTGCACTATACTGAAAAGTCCTTTGGCCGCTAGTACTTTGTTCATTTGCCACTGTTCTTATGTTCCCTGACTATCTTGATGTCTTGCCTTCAGCAACAAGGAAACATTTAAGACCAAGAACATTTCCATCCTGGTTAATGATCTCAATACTCTCGGCAAAACAGTTGCCATGGAAACACTGAAGAGGTAGCGGTGGTGCCCTTCAATAACAAAACAAAAGTAAAATTATTAGTCATTAATAATATTTTCTCAAACTGGCAAACACTTCAGGTTATGCAGCACCACTTATATTGAGAGCAGTTTTACACTGCCAAATTTGTTACATTTAGTCCAAGAGCATCAAAATTAAAATAATCCAAATAACTTAAACCAAACCATTGTTATTAGATATTGAAACTAAGGGATGATTTTAAATTATAGTGAATAAAGAACATAATATCATTATTTAGCTTGCTAGTTTCATCTTGATGAGAAGAATACTATAATTTAAGTTAGAACAACAACAACACAAAATAGCAAGGTATGGCTATGAGAAACCCTTACATTGTTTATTGATGTGTACTTCTAAATGAATACTACTTTACCTTGCATCTGTCAAGCTGTTGCCATGGTAAATGGACATTCGTGACACTACTGGCGATGATCCAGAGGAGAACTTGAGTGATCCTAATCCATGAGTATAGTATGGCTGTGGAACATCATTGGTTTGTAAGAAAATATGATGCAGAATTATTATTAGTATTATTACAGCGTAGCAAGCAGCACATTTCAACAGTCTGCAAACTTGCACAATTTGAATGTGTTATTTACATAGCTGCGACTAGCATACTGTCTCTTTGTTATTAGCCTTTGGGTTATGTCGAAATTATCAATTGAAATTCTAATCTGTCCTGAGCAACATTCTATTTAATAGCCCATGACAGAACCAATGCAGTTTGCTTAATAGGTGCAAGTTTGATGTTTTCATTCTTTGTTTCCGCAGTTAATTAAAAGTTGTTGGATAAAAAATTGAAAAGAACAAATTTTAGGTTTATTTTCCTCAAATCTTGATGTTTCTCTAGACTTACTCTTTTTTCTTACTCTTTTGCTCTCTTATTCTTTACTCTTTGAAAACATTGTTTCCATTCATGTGATTATCAACTGCAATACTGTATGCTGACATGCAAATAATGTTGGCTCACAAATCTACAATGTCTCTGGTACATACCTCAAACTTTGAGTCAATTGGGAAAGAAAAAGAAAGACCTCTGAAGTTCAGTATGAACAGCTGATGGTTGGGGTCATAGACTGAAATAAAGACAATTTTACATTAATTGTTGAAAAATATGTGCATAGATATGTACTACAAGCATTAAACTTTCAAGCACCAGTGAATAGAGAATGCTCAGTTCTGGAAGAGTTTTAGCTGCAGTGAAAAGCTGTTGAAAACCATGCATGTATACACTGTATTGCACAAACCTCCTGGATGTGTTGCTCCAAATGACATATCAATTTGTTCAATTGTAGGTTGGACTTGAGGGGAATTGAAGTGCACTCCACTATGAAGGAATGAAGCAGAAAACCTGAGTGTTTAGTAACATACTGCAAAGTTCTGAAAATAACAGTGAGCCTTGTCACTTTTGGATTTAGCAGCACTTTTCTTTTGGTAGTTTTACATAATCATTACTTCTGAATATGCTGAAAAAAAGTGAGCTTTGATCTCCACTTTTGGAGTTCTACTGATTTTGGGTATTTACTTTCTGAAGTTTAACAGTGACTAGTGCAGTAGATGCTACAACTGAATATTAGTCTGAAAGGACAAAGACCTGTGATTGTTTTTCATTGCTACTTGTTATTTTATATACAGTGTAGGCCAGTGACTGGGCTGCTAAAGGCCAAATAAATTCTGATTTTAACAGCATGGCTTTAGAACATGTAACAGCTAGTAGTTAGAATCAACCATGTTCATAATTTGCACAGGAGAGGTTTTTGCTATCAGTTTCTCAGTGGCACTCAAAAGCAGATACCAAACAGAGACAATGACCAGAGCAGCTGAGATATGGGACCCCCATTCTTGTCCCCAGAGGCTGCACTCCTTTTGGTCTGTAGCTGTACCAAGAATAATGATCTCTGGACAGACACGGTTTTCTGAGCATGTGCAGAGTATTTGTTTCGTATTCTCAACCAATCAGATTTGTCAGATTTGACAGTGTTGGACCAGGCCAGAGGTCATGATTCTTGGTGCTGACCAAAAGGGGTGCAGCCTCTGGGGACGAGAATGTGCGACCCCTTCCTAGAGTAAACGCTTCTTTCACTGCAAGGTGACATTGAGTTACAAGATTTCCTAAGGACAACTGTCAGGAGTACTTTAAGACAAAGTTAAATCATACCAGTATTTCAGCTTGACTTTGTTCATGCTGTACACTTCAATTATCTGAGTAATGCAATTAAAATGTTAATGCAAAATGTGAAATATAATCATGCAGATGCAGTAGTGGGTCTTTGGCGTTAGCCCGGGGGGGGGGGGGGGGGGGGGGCACTGCAATATATGGGCTATATAGGTATGTGCCGCTGTGAAGGGTATGGTTTTCAAGCAGTTTACTCTAGGATAGGGTATATAAATCAGATCATTTGGGTCTAGAATAGGGTATCATTTCTCCCAAAACTGACTAGTTGGTTGAAGATTTTATCTAGACTAAGGAAACCAGGCATTGCTGCTCAAAAAAATCAAATCGGCAAGTTTAAATTTACGCAAATCAGCCTCAACAGTGTCGATAGATGGGGGGATTTGGGGAGTTTACTCTAGNTTGTATGTAAGCACGCTGAACTCATGATAGTCAGATAGTATTAAATGATTTAAACACAAGGAGGTTTTGAGTACGTGTGGTTGTCAAAATAAATAATACCTTTAGTCTCTGCGTCACAGGATCAAAGACAAGTCTTATTCCATCATTTGGCAGGTTTAAAACCAGATCCATGGCGAGAGGATTCTGACACACAAAAAAATAGCAAACAAAGTAAAATAAGGCAACTTTCTTGATGGCGTGCATTAAGAAATCGAGAGAGTATCAAATATGATCAACCATGCCGAGTGACATTTGACAGTAAATTATGTTGCTACACTGTACATTGTATATGCTCGTCGCAGCTACCGTAAGGAAACTTTGACGATGCAGTCCTCTGTCCCAGAATTATTATTAAAAAAAGCTAACAATTTCGTGGGAAGAAAGAGAGCCAGTTTTTTAACTGTTGAAACACTTACCGCCTCGCTGTACATAGCTTGTACAGTTTTGATAACTCGACACTGTCGCTTGAGAATCTGCACGCACTGTGCAACGGGCATTCCTTGAAATGATCAGAGATTGATTAATAGCTCCAAAAACAAATGCTAATATATTAATTTAAGACGAACTGGTCCAGGGAGTATAAACTTCGTGACGAGCGTGAAAAGACAAAGTACAAATTATGTTATAACAAACCGAGTATAAACTCCCATTGTTCGTTCCCCAGCGATCTTTCGGGGACAACTTCGAGATCCAACATAACTACGCTTTTCTAAAACATGCAGGAATAATTTCCTGCCTTTAAGCTATCATAACGTCCGCTGATTTTTGCAAAATCGTCTCCAAAATCGACTATAAACTCATGACATCATATCGCTGCATCCGTCGAAAATAAATTGGTCTTGTTTACGTTGCGTTGCGCATAGCCGCGCATAATTATTCAGCTGTCCATCTGCAGGCTCCGAATCGTGTTTTAGTAGCCGCGCCTCCTGAAAATAAATAGCTTGACAATATGGCGGATGCAGAGGAGGAAACCGAAGCAAATCCGCCACGACTAGCTGCGAGTGATTTCGATATATTCGCAGAAAAACTCCTGACACACCAGCTTTTGTTAACTGCGCTTGAGTTGCACACGGAATTAGTTGAAGCAGGGCTGGAGCTTCCTCGTTTACGTGACTTTTTCTCCAATCCAGGAAACTTCGAACGCCAATACCAGACAAATTCAAGAGATGCGCCCTCTCCTGTCATGCGTGAGCTTTTTTTTTTTTTATAACAAATAGAACGTTTATTTTTATGTGGTAAATTTGCAGTAAACGTGACATAAATGCCTCCCTTAGTTATTGTTTTATTTGCATGAGTTCAGCGTTATATATTTACATGTAGTTAAGATGATTGTGTTCATTTGAGGCCGGAAATTTAATAAATGACCACATCTTTCCTAATTTCCTCTTTAACCGAGGAACACGACAGTGCCAAGAGGAATGGTGGATTATATCGTGGAATCCGAGAACCTGATTTGCATGAAGTAATCTTATATATCTTAGAGCCTTTTTAGAAAATTAATGACAGTATCAAGATTACTCGGTTACTTAAAAAAAAAAAAAAAACAACGTGTGCCTCCACTTCTTAACTTTAGATACACAAATGAAATAAAATTTGTATTACCATACAATAATGTGTACAGCTACCATGTGATATACCTATACTGCTGTCGTAAATAACTGGTGAAATTTAATCTACAAGTCTGCTTCTGAACCTCACAGTTCCATGTACTGTTGTCGTATTCAATAATTTTATCATTATTATTTAATTCAAATTTCACAGCTCGTACATCAAGTATTGCCACCATTGATTCACTTGATGATTATACTCGTTATTCTGATGATGGTGTCAGAGAAACCGATGAAAAAGTTGCAGGTAGATCATCTGGGAAATACATAATGTTAAACAAATGCAGTGCACCTTTGATTGTGTGTTTTAAGTTATAAGATGTGTTGGACAACTCATCTGACCAATATTATGTATATTACATATCAATATTTATAGAAAGCTTAGTTTTTCTTGAAGATATTAAGTTTTCTTTGGCAGGTCTGTTTGGAAATTCCAGTTTGCTATTGTGTAGTTCCAGAACATATCCATACCCCCAGCAAAGGGATTCTTTTCCAAGACCCTCGTCTCCTCTGGAAATTCGAATTAAGCATCACACAATTTTTTCAGTGTTTGGTCTTACAGAACCCCTTGCCCTCAGGAAATTCCAATCCCTTTTGTTAGGGGAATAGGGATATTTTCTGGAACTGCACATAAGCATTCCCTACTGTTCAAGTTTCTCAATATAATCAAGTCTAAAAGCACATCTTTAATGCATCATTTTATTATGGCTTTACTGGGCAACAAGTCAACTTTTGAGAATTTTACAACCCAAGAAAATCAATCGCTTGGGGCCAAGTTCCCCATGCCATCCAAGCTTATCATGGTTTTTGTTCCCCATTATTTCTACCTCTCTCTAAACAAGATACAGTCTATTGCAGGGTTAATCCCAACATTAAATTCTGCCAGTAACTGCTTATACATGTACTTACTGTATCTGGGTAGGGTACAATTGGTATCAGTGGCAGATCTAGGAGGGGCAGGGACCCACCCCCCCTTATTTTGGGTAAAAAAAAAAGAAGGAAGGAAGAAAAGTCAACAGGGCAAGCAAAAAAAACCAAACCAAACCAAAACAAAACAAAACAAAAATGCTCTCCCCCCTTAGCTCAAGGTCTGAATCTGCCACTGGGCACTATGGTAGTAAAGTATTAATATATAGTACCACACGCTAATGCTTCCAGCCAGAGCTAGATTGATCCTGAGTCTAGTGCCCTAAATGACAACCCCATCTCTCTGTCACCCAATGAGTGCATATGCTGGCAGCCAATTACATTCGTCTCAGTTATTAAAATTACCATTAATCATGTTTTGACGACTAATTTATCACAAACTGGCTGTTTCATATTTTGATTTCAGTTTTGGAATTTGAATTGAGGAAGGCCCATGAGACAATTAAAGCTTTGAGGGGATCTCTGACAGAAGCAACTGGTAAATCTGATGAATTTCAGATAGTTTAGGAAAACAGTATTTTGAAATTTGTTACATTATTCTGATGCATGTTGTGTGCTGCAATGCTATAAATCACATCCATCCTGCTCACATCATATGTACAATACAGGATATAGACTTCGAACAGGTCTTACAGGGATTTCTACTTGAGTAATGAAAGTTAATTGATTTGCTTTGGTTTTACTTTGTTATGTTTAGCAGTCATGACTCATTCATGTTTTGTCTTGGCTTACATGCATTTGCTTCGAGTTTTGATTGGTTCACTGGGTTGTCTGATAAGTGAACAACAAAATTTGATCGCTTAAGTTTAACTGATGTCGCAATGTATTGTAAATTTATTCTCTAGATTTTTTTGTTCTCTGCGTTTATAGTCATATATGATCAATTATTGTACATTTTTAGTCTTAATTTTTAGAATATACTAGGGCCGTTGATTATCTGTAAAATAGGTGATTTGCTAAGTGTAAAGCCCATGTTAAATAAAGTATTGTATTGTATCGTCTGACTCCATTATGACTGGCCACAAGGGTTTTAGTTCGATGATGTTCATTTGAAAGTGACTCTGAGCTTTGCAAATTATTAATAGGATTTCCTCTTTGGGATAATCACCGAAAAAATGTGTATCTTCAGGTTTTATGATGCTGAAAAGAGTAGAAATGTATTTAACCACTCAATATATCACCATCTATCTAGGATTCTTTATTGCACCTGTAACTTGGACTGTAACTTTTTTAAATTCCATTTTAGAAACTGAGACTCCAGCCCTTGAGGGCATCCAGGGTGATCAGGCAGAGAGTGAACATCTATCTGGTGGGGTAAGGCAACAGATGGTTCTTGATTGTTATGTACATGTAATTATGGAACAGTAGCCCAGTAACAGAATTGCTTCCTCAGTGTGAATTGAACAAAGTTTTGTGCTGTTTTATCAGGAGTCCCTGAGGCCACATGAAAAGCGAGCATTGAATTTCCTGGTTAATGAGTACTTATTGAAGAATGGCTACCGGATGACATCTGTAACTTTCTCTGATGAAAATGCTGATCAGGTTTGTTCCACGTATTCATTAATTTTTATGTATTGTATGTTTTTCTTTGTAGAATTGTATGATTGTTTTATCTAGTATTAAAAAATAATTGTGTGAATGCAAGCGAATTAAGGATGATATTAGAAAATTTTCTCAAAATTGCATGAGCTCTTACATTGTAGGCGGGTGCAATTTTCAAAGAATTTTCAAACTTCACTTGCAGTGATAATTTCCTAATTGCTTGTGAGCTTTCATACAATTGCTCATTTATCAGACAACTGAGAAAAATTACTAACTTTTGCACATAAAATTGCACTGCAGTGCAAATGAAAAATTAACAATAAATTGGCCTGCTGTCAGCCAACCACAATGACAGAAATAATTTTCTCGGTCGTAAATTATAATAATGTTTATTTTTATGTTTATTTATATTGCACATATTTCCAGGACTTTGAAGACTGGGATGATGTTGGTCTGAACACTGCAAAGCCTCCAGATTTACTGCATCTCTACAGAGACTATGGACACCATACTGTGCCTGAGGTCATGCTGGTGTTAAAATCGGTGAAGGAAGAAAAAGCAAACCTGGAGGAAGAATATGCCAATTTACAAGAGGAGTGTAAACGACTTCAAGAAGAAATAGGAGAATTAAAATATGAGAACCATACACTAAATGAAACTGTGGAAAAACTAGAAAGGTAACATTTATAATGAGTAATATCCATGTGTAACTGAAAGTGATTAAAGAGATTTATTCTTCAATAGATATGTACAAGGTTTTAAGTTATCACAAAAACTGAATTCTCAATTTATCCCATATTTTCTATACTAATCTTCTCCTCGATGAAACTTGATAACACGTAAAAAAAATCATGCTGAAAGCACAAAGGAGTGGGGTTTTACCGTGCCAATCAGACTTCTTGACTACCTGCTTAAATTCCTACATAGAATTTGGTTAAGTTCTTAGAAGGTGCGTTTATACTAAGTCTTGTGAACTTACTCACGATGTTCAGTTGAAGTGGAACAGGAAAAATCTTTTGAATACAAGCAGCAGCCCCTGTGAAAGTTAAAACAAACAAGCAAAAGACTGCGAGAGAAATGAAGGAAGGGATTTTCAGTGAGATGTTTGCTCCACTCTCCATGGTTATCAACAAACAAAGCCAAACAAGTTGGGCAACTTTGAGAGTTGATATGACTACCTGGCAAATGGACGAAAACTCCTCTTATAAAGGCTTGTTTGCCGGAGCAGTCTAAATACGATCAGGAAGCTCAAACAACAACAACAACAACAACAACAACAACAACAACAACAACAGTAACAACAGCAACAGTGCACTAGTCATCTTCCCTCTGTATCTGTGTGGTTTTCGCCAGTGCCTGATGGTTTTTCTTTTTTTCTTATAAGAGATATTCAGCAGTATGCATGTATCTTTACTTATTATAATTAACATTACTTTGTTCAACGTTCTATTTATTTAAACCTTCATGATTGGGCGAACTGCTTTACTTTTATCGTTGGCAGTGAAGTGAAGGAAATCGCTGACTCACCACGACCATCTGAGAATGCTTCTAGAAGCCTTGTACAAAACACTGGTTTATTTGAGACAAGTACAGACGATGTGGTAACACCCACGAGTGAATCATCAGCAGAGATTGTAAACGCCAGTGACAACAGTAACGAGGCACCCAATGTTAGTGATGAGATTGACGAACATACTGAGATTGAGTCAGACAGTAAAGAAGAAGTCGATGGAAGTAAAGAGTGTGTTGATGGGCAGAATGAAACGACGAGATTAGCTGACGCTGAATTTGATCAAGGAAATCCTGCTGATGACAGCATAGAGTCTTCGGTGACACAAGAGAGGGTGAGCTCTTGCTAGCTGCTGATTTTCGGGGCGGTAGAATGTTGGGTGGAAGTGAGGAGGAACGTTAAGCAAGCGTTTCTTTTCCTTCTTTCTCGCGTTTTCCTATCCCCGACCC